CATGGCAGAAGACAGTCTATTTTGAAATTTCCTTATGCAACCATTGGGTCAATAACTATTGCTATATCATACCACAATTGTATAACCTCCTGTTGTTTAGTCCTTTGCAAATTTAGAATAAGCATCACCCATGCCACATTTTGAACAGTAACAACATTGCAGTAATGGGTGGCACAGTGGTTAGAATGCAGTATTGTAGGCTAATTCTGCTGACTACGAGCAGTTCGATCCTGACTGGCTCAAGATTGACTCAGCCTTCCATCCTTCCGAGGTCAGTAAAATGAGGACCCAGATTGCTGGGGGCAGTATGTTGATTCTGTAAACCACTTAGAGAGGGCTGTAAAGCAATGTGAAGCAGTATCTAAATCTAAGTGCTATTGCTATTTCTAAACACAACTAATCAGAATAATTTTCACAGATTTTAACATGATTTATGTCTCAGTAATAATTTTTAGAATCTATTCAACCTATTCTCTAAGCCAAGCACCTGTGAGCTTTTGTACAAGTTCAGGCAAAGAATGAGCTAGATGTGGATGAGTTGGTTTTGCTGCTCCCTTATTTTGGGAAACAAACTTGGCACACTCCTTTTCCAATAAATTTCCATTTTCTTGTGCAATATAGTACCGCTACAATATGATATAGCCAGAATTGGATCAATTTATGATCAATTTAGGTTCATTGTGAAAAATATCTATGGTAGCAAGATACCCCATTAGCAATCTAATCAGATAAGGCCTATCCAGTCATGATCTTGATGTTAGAAATAGAATTTAGTCCAGAAAGTCTGAAACAATAGTTCATCTAAGTAAAAGTAATGGCTTTAAAGATAAGCCCCTGTTGCTTAGATTGAACAAAAAGAGAAGCCCAACATCATACAGAATGAAGAGTTGATGAATAGGACAAGGAGAGGACTTGAGATCACCCACAAGTGCTTCAGATAGCTGCTCCTTATTAGAGCTCAGGCTGGGAAGGGTTGGTTTAGAGCTCTGTGAGATATAGGAAGAGGTGTCTTGCTCAGACTGTGATTGGTGCCTTTGAAAGGACATTAAATTCACATATTTTCCCCCCCCTCTGTCTCTCCCCTTCCCTCTCTCCCTCCCCTCCTCTCTATCTCTCTCTGTATAATAAGCAGCTGGAAGGTTTGATTGGACTAAGGGTCTAAATACATTTGAAATAAGATTTTGGAATTAATTATAAAGAATCCTTCCTATGAGAAATGGTTTTATTTTGAAACATAAGATTTTAAAAATTAGGCACTAGACTAGAGGGAATTAGAGGGAGATTGTAAAGATTACAATTCAAGGAGAAAAACATTTAAATTCAATTTACAATTACAGAATAAAGCAAAATATTTTACTGTAGGATATATTGAACGACGGACTGAAAAGTCAATTGTACGAGTGTCTGTTCTATAGATATACTGTATCTGAAAGATGCTATCTAAAAGATGCTATGAAAGAGGAGCACATTGTACCTAACAAGTGAGACTGATTTTATAAGAGAAACTGGCTTATGTTTTAATAATTAAAAGGGAGGTACAAGCAATATACCAAAAGAGTGACCTAGATAACCTTCCTATATTGGATTCAACAAATGAGTTTTGTTAAATGAAAGGTGAAAAGAAAAAAAAATCAAGTTCAATGACATTATTTGACGGGGCTAAAGAATAAGATGTTAAAAGTAAAAATAAGAAATATAAAGCTGTTTTATTTGATCAGTATTAAAAGAGATATATTGCTATTTCTGATAACCCCTATAGACTTTTGCTGATATCAGGACTGAGATGACAATGGATTATGAGAGAGTTGGGATATAGGAAGAAGATATTGTATTTGTATTTTAAGAGAAGTTACTAAAATTGTTTATACTTGTGATGAAGTTGAGCAGTTACTTCTTTACTATGTCTTTTTTTCTTTTCTATATTATTTTTTCTTTCTTTTCTATTTTTCTTTCTATTTTCCCCCTTTTTCTTTCTTTTTTGCACTTTCTGCTCTTTCTTTTTACTATTCTTTTTTTCAATTTGTATTATTTACTGTTGCAATTATAATAATTAATAAATTTACCACACACAAAAAAAGAAATTCTATAAGGCTAGCCACCAGGTGTCATTGAAGCATAAGTCTGCAAAGCAGTGGTCAGCCCTGCCACCCTTCTGCTCTTTGACAGTTAGGACAGCTTTTTAAAAAAACAAACAAATTACACGAATGGAGACAAACAAGAGTTCTGCCATTTCAACAGCACAACAAACTGTGCAGCTGTGTTTTCGGGCCGCTGGCCAAGAGTATGTTGTTTTTGCTGTTTTTCCCTCCAGCTGCTACAAAGGGCTGACCCATGACAAGCCAAAAGGGAATATGTGTGCATGTGTGTGTGTGGGGGAGAGGGGGACATCCATACACAGCCAGCTAGCAGCTCATCAAGATAAAACCACAAAAATTTAAATGCTTGAAAGCATGCTGCAGAGATACCGTTGCTTGCCTTGAACTATCACAATCCTAACTCCTCTTGGCTGGTTTCCCTACACTAAATAAAGCTAAGCAAGATCTGGCTGCTGTGGAGGAGGAGAGGAAGATATTCAGCCTAATCTGCTTCATAGTTAGCTTAGCTCTTTCATTTGTTTCCTCCAGAGTCATGGGGGATAATTTCTGACACTTTTGAAATCTTTGTGTGAGCAAGAAGAGGTTCTGATTGACCCATGCCTTTCTTTCCTGCTTCCTGTCCTGAACAGGTATAGATTTCAGCTGCTATGTTTTCTCAGCCAAGGGCAGATCTGTAAGAGGGATGAACATCGTCTAGAGTAGGGGTCTTCAGACTTGGCAGCTTTAAGACTTGTGGACTTCAACTCCCAGAATTCTTCAGCCAGTCCTGGCTGGCTGAGGAATTCTGGGAGTTGAAGTCCACAAGTCTTAAAGTTGCCAAGTTTGAAGACCCCTGCTCTAGAGCAGTGTTTCTCCAGCTGTGTGGACTTCAATATCTTGCCTGGGAAATTCTCGGAGTTGAAGTCTACACAGCTTAAAGTTGCTGACACACTGGTCTAGAATTTGCCTTACAGTCCAGCATTCCCTGGTGAGAATGGCCTTGGCGTCAGCTCCAGAAGATAAAGGTAGAGGTTAATTAAAGTGAATTTTGAACTGAGAAACCAGGTTTAGAACAGATTAGAAAATTACCTTCTGTTATCTGGATGTTTTAATCCAAAGATGATTCTGGTTCCCTGAAGCTAAAAATGAGGACATGCAGTACATAATCAGTCACTATATTTATTCCTTCTCCCCTTCTTTATTGATCTCATTTTGTTGATGGGTCACAAATAAATTCAATGAATAAATAAGTAAATAAATAAATGTCAGTTTATAGTTTTGTTGTTCATGGTATGCTAGCACTGCTCTAAAATATTTTTTTCTTTCCAGGCAGGTCTTATGAACTTCTTGAGGAAGCTATTATAAGAACTGCATGCTTAAAAAAAACACATCAAAGACATATAGCACTATCGGCAGTAGATTATTTCTTTACAAACATATGTAACTGTAAACAGCAGATATGAGAATAATGTCTTCCTAACATCTGAGGGCCAAATGAAAAATGGCCCACTGAGACTACGATCAGAATTTTTTTCCATTTAAAAGAGAAAACCAAACCTTTCTTTTCTTTTCTCCTATTTGCATAATTTTGTCTAATTGAGTTGAGTCTCCCTTGAGGACCCTTTCCGGTCGCTGAATTAAATTGTTATCTACCCTTCTTTGAATTCATCCAAAATGGTGCCTACATGACCATCTGCTGCTGCCTTCCAATCCCCAATGCTAGGAAGATGCCATACTCATATCTGCTGTTTACAGTTACATATGTGTATAAAGAAACGATCTACTGCCGATAGTGCTATATGTCTTTCAGGTATTTTTTTTAAGCATGCAGCTCTGATAATAATTTGCTTCTATTATGCTTCTTTCAAGTCACCACCAAACAATACCATCCTGGTTACTCGTATCCAGTGTGAGATAAGCATAATGAATTTTTGATTCTTATGGCTGTTTTGTTCTCCCTCGCCAATCAGCGGGAAAACTTTTGCCAATCCTGGCACTGGCACAGGAATGGATGGCTGTGATTGAAGGAGTCTATCCATCATTCAGAGGTTGCTAATACGCTTTTTTCCCCTAAAGCAGTGTTTCTCAACCTTGACAATTTTAAGGCATGTGGACTTCAACTCCCAGAATTCCACAGCCAGCAATGCTGGCTGTGGAATTCTGGGAGTTGAAGTCCACATGCCTTAAAATTGTCAAGGTTGAGAAACACTGCCCTAAAGAATCTTTTTCCCATGAAGAACAACTATCAATGTTTTAGGATGAATTTTAATCGAGAAAACCATTTTGAAACTGAAGCAGGGAGGGGGAAGTTACAAAATGTTTCTCTTATTCCAGTCTGAAATGAATCTGGGCTTTCTTGAAGCTGCTGTTCATTTTTGACAAAATCCTTCTGACCTTGGCTCTTTCTGTCATGTTATCTAAAAAGAGGAATGCTTTGAGGCAGGAACATCTTGACAGATAAAATGAATATTCCCCCCCCCCAATGCTTACATTCCATAAAACAAATCTTATATCATTAGCCCTCACCTAGACAGGTACCACATATTGTAACCCAACTTCCTTTGCTTTGCAGAATGATAGCAGCCAATAAGTTCTTTGGGCTATCATTAATTGTGGAATTTGTAAGATGGGAAAGAATATTTATCTTTTAGTGAATGCTACTGCTAGTTCCTATGCTTCTGAATAAACTAAAGGCATGGTGCTTTTTGCCTGAAAATTATCTTCTCCCATTACAGTTTTGGGCCAGCACATTCAAGAATATGTGCTCCAGTTGAGCTAAGAATATATTCACATTATCAGAAGGGAAGCAGTACTAATGGGAATAAATTTAGCACTTTTCTAGAGAAGCACTAAACCTGTGCCTAAAAAATTAACTTGGTTAACAGGTTGAACATTTTGGGCGTAAGCTGAAACATGAGAACTCACCAGGAAGTAAAAACCAAATAACTCTGTTGGGAAGTGCCCAAAGATTGGAAGAGAAGAATCCCAGTGAGCACATCCCAGCCCCTGACCATGTCATAGAGACCACATTGCAGATTGTTCCTGTGATAGGTCTGTGTTGGGAAAAGAAGCAAACTTTAAAAGTGGAATAGCTAAATGCAATTTTAAGCATTCTCAGAGGTAGGTTAGGGATGAGATAAAGGTGATTTAATGACATGCTCTCTAAAGATGGTAGGAAGGCATCTTTGTACAAAAGATAGTGGGATATAAGGATGAGTTCTGTACTACATTCACAAGGAATTGCTACACTGAGATCCCTGTTAAGCAGTGGATGCCAGGTGATCATCAGTCCTCAATTTGTTTAAATCTGAGAATTAACATTGGCTACAGCAGGGGAGTCAAATTGCATCTTGCTGAAACCGCGCCCACCCCAGCCCAGCAATGAGGAAAAAGTCGCGATACGTCACAACACATCACGTGATGTGGCGAGTTTGACACCCCTGAGCTACAATCAATGGGAAACAAAAATGTAAAAGTACAATAGGTTATTAGCATGTATTTTATAGTTGATGGTGATATCTAAATTAATAATGGTGGTGTATTCAGACTCACTATTATATATGTATATCTATCATAGGCAACACTGAACATGTTCATCAACAGCAAAGAAAAAGAAACATCAACCACATTTGCTTTATTGTTTTACAGATCACCAGGAATCAGGCTTGGCTCAGTGGCACTAGCTAAATCATATTACATTTGGATAGTTATAATTTCAGCCTTCCAATTTATTCTGACCCCTGTTCAGAATCAGACATGTTAACTAAGTCAGCTGATAGTATTATAAATGTTCCAGATTATATCTATTGTGTAGTGGAAGAAGAAATAAATGAGATTGGTGATAAAATGAGGAATGGGAGAGATTAAGAATTAGAATTGATAATTTGTTGTTTTAAACTTAAACTATGGTAATTGTAAACTGATAAAGTTATAAAACAGGTTTAGTAATAATAGAAATTTAAAATAGAAATGGAATATTTAAATGTATTATGTTAATCGAGGGAAATAGAGAGGGGATAGTGAAATGTATTGAGTTGAGTTGTTTATATATGTTTTTACTTTTGAATGTTGGACCACCCAACCACCACGGTGGGTCCTGAGTACTTTTTCTTAAGAATTTAAAAAAACCAATAAAATGTGTTAAAATAAATAAATAAATGAATAAATGTTCCAGATTAATTGAAGACATTCCCCTGCCCAGTGGTAGGATTCAAATATGTGAACAACTGGTTCTCTGTGTGGATGCCACTTCCGGAAGTCCATTCTGGGCTTGGGCAACAAAAAATTAACTACTGGTTCTGCCAAAGAGGTGCGAACTGGCTGAATCCCACCACTGACCCTGCCTAAGAAGTCTACATGTCTGTGTCCCTTGTTAAGGCAGATCTCACACATAGGCTGTGATAAGAAATCCTACACTGGTTTGTTTACACTGAAAGATCTAAAGATCAGTGATAGATAGCTTTGAATAGAATATATAGCTCATTGGATTAAAGTTTTAGTCAGGAAGAGAAGTGACAGCCAGTCCATAATTCTTTTTTTGGCTCATAGTAAATAATTAATTTACATACTTTACATTAATTTCATATATATACATTTTTAGTAAATAAGTATTTTTATTTTTCACTCTCCTAAGTCAAATCAATGGGTGATTATACAGACAACTGTATATAATCTGTGTAGAATAAATACAACGTAATGCAATAGTACAAGACATGCAAGTGTATTTATTTTATCCAGTAGGAACAATACACATACAGAAAACTGTCCATTTCCAGATATGGATATAGAGTGAAATTTGTTTTTATTTATTTGTTTGTTTATCAAATTTAGATACTGCTGATCTCTCTCAGAGCAACTCAAGGTGACACCTTGCCAATGATTTCTTTGACATTGTTGCTGCAAACTTACCATTGTGCCTGATCCTGTTCTCCCTGTTCTAGTCTGAAGGTGAGAAATGGGGTTTGCAGGCAGTGAAGACTGCTACAAAGGAAGGAGAGTCTGAGTTGTGGGTTGCACTGGGCTCTCCAGGCAGCTACTAGTGGGATGCCAGACTAGCACCATCTCCCAGCTCATGACCATGGTGGCTTGTCACGATGGACTAGATCCTGAGAAAATGATAGCAATATAAGCAGTTAGGTGCTTATCGTCTTTCTAAAACAGACTTTCTACAGATGAGGAAATGGGGAGGCTTGGCACAAACCCAAGGGGATGAGAATAAGATCCCCATGCCGACTGGCACAAACATTGACCAACTCATCTCTTGGTCTGGAAGAACAAGTTCTGATTGGTTATCACTTCTGTGACTGCCCTACAGTCTAATGAACAAGTAAACACATTTATTTCTGTAGCATTCTAGTATCCTAAAACAGATGGAACTCCCCATTCAAGCTTTACTTTCTTGTCATTGTCAATCAATGAAATCTTCATTACAGTCATATACCAGCATAACGCAAATAAAATACAAACAATTAGTAATTTTAAAAGCCAAATAAGTATATATTCATGTACATACACATATACACACACAAACACATACAAAAATCTTCTAAAAATCTATAAAAGTAGATTAAAAACATTAATTAAATAGAAAAAAAATATAGGTTAGTATATGGCTAACTAATGTATTATCAGCTGACAAGTTAAATATTCATTAAGGCTGGTTTGAGGCAGAGTCATCATCTGACAGATTTTAATCACTGCTGACATTGGCAACATTGTTGTTATAGTGAGATTAGTGTCTACAAGCAACAGGGAGGTATAAAATTGTCCTGTGCATCCTGGGTATTTAGGCAGATGAATGTCTCTGTAGGCACTGGAGGAGCACATGCACTGTTGTTTCTTTATGCCCAGAATCACCGGGATATTGCCTCTCTGGGTAAGGTATCCTCCTTGCAAATGTGAAAGCAAAAAGATTTGGGCAATGGAGAACGTTCTGCATGAGCAAACCTTACAGAAACTCTATGGCACAGGTCGGCAACCTGCGGCTCCGGAGCCAGATGCAGCTCTTTGAGCCTTCCCCTGTGGCTCCCAGCCTCCTCTGCCTTTGCAGAGAGAGAAAGAGACAGAGAGAGGCAATTGCGCTTCCCTGCCTCTCTCTCTCTCTCTCTCTCTCTCTCTCTCTCTCTCTCTCTCTCTCTCTCTCTCTGTGTGTGTGTGTGTTTTGTGTGTGTGTGTGTATGTGTAAAAGAGAGTGCACTCACAGTGTTCTCCGAGGAGCTGAAAAGCTTACTGGGTGGAGCTCCTCCCTTTGCTGTGTCTCTGCAGGAAGCAGTAAGGGCAGGAGACAGCTAGTTAGCCCAGCTAGGCTGACTCAGGAATTCTGGGAGTTGAAGTCCATGAGTCATAAAAGAGACGAGGTTGCCTACCCCTGAGCTTGTTGGACAACAGCTTGAAGCTTGCCAGGTGAGCAGCAGATAGGAGGGGGGGGAGAAAGAGAGAGAGAGAAAGAGAGAGAGAGAGAGGGAGGGAGAGAGAGAGAGAGAGAGAGAGAGAGAGAGGAAAGAGAGAGAGAAAGAGAGTGGGGAAGAGGAGTGGCAGACCAAGGGCAGATAGAGAGGGAGGGAGAGAGAGAGACAGAGAGAGAGAGAGAGAGAGACCCTTTTGACATCTAAAATGAAGATAACACTGCATATATCCTTTTTTTACCTGTGTGTGTACGTAATTTTATTCTCTTAAAGCATTCTCTTGGTGATCATTGTTTTAATAGTATGGATATTCCCAAGAGTCATATTTTTACTTTCATTTTTAATGTGTACATATACATATACATACACACACACACACATAAACACACATACACACACACACACCTATAATAAAGGTAAAAAAGGATATATGCAGTGTTATCTTCATTTTAGATATCAAAAGGGTTTTGCGGCTCCAGGTGTTTTGTTTTTGGTGGGAAACCGGTCCAAGTGGCTCTTTGAGTGTTTTGGGTTGCCTACCCCTGCTCTATGGGAATAAATTAGCCCATCTCTTACTCTCCTCTGTCCATGTTTGTACTGTAGGAGAAGAAAAGGTAGAGCCAGGAGGTGGAGTTAAACATGTCATCAGCTTAGAATTGTTAAATTGCCACAAATGGTCTAAGTCCAACCCCCTCTTGAATTTCATTTACCCTTATTTGGTATTGAACTTTGGTTGAGTAGATTTTTGTGTATAGGCTTGAGCAATAAATCCTTTTAGAATTGCAACTTAATCTTGATCCTTTGTGCCTGACAATGTTATCCATGTATCTTATGAATCGTATCCAGGTTGTTTTCCACTCCTCAGAACCGGAAACATCTCCTTGTCTGAAGGAGCACCTCTTCTTTTGCTCCACGAGTATACCTGGAAAGAAGACAGATCACTGAATCAACATAAGAGCCCAACTAGTTTTCATCCCTTCTCTGCTGGAGCCCATGTGTAATTCAGTTCCCTGCTTACAAACTTGATTTTATTTTCCTTGCAGTTGTAGAGGTATGTTCTGCCAGCTTAGGGGGAGAGCAGGGATCAAAGATCTTCTGGCTGGGAAAACAGTCAGGAAAAGAAGTGGATGGTTAAAGAACAAAGCTATTTTAATCAAAATTTAATGTTAGGTGAAATGAATCAAATACATTTATGATTATTTTTATGATTATACTACTTGTACAGAATATTTTTTTCTCTCCACACATGGAAAATGCAAATCTATTGTCACTTCTGGAAGGACTCTAGGGAGTACTGAGTGTAATAATTCTGAAGAAAATAGAGCACTGTTTATAATACTACAGTTAAATAAAAATGTATAAACTGCACTGCTTAAAATCATTAATAAATCCATCTGATAAATTAATGAGAAAAATATAATTTTACACCTTTTTGGTGGTGGTGGTGATTATTTTCATTTTATTTCATTTTCCATGAGGTGAATTGATATAGAAATTCCTCACTTGATTAAACTGGGGAAAAAACCAAGAATAATGTGACTGGGATGTGGCTGAATTAAATCAGACAAATGATTTCATTACCAAGACTTAGGTGTAAATGCTGCAAATATCTAGTTTGGTTCTAATTTTCTAATTAATATGCGATTCTGGGCTACTGTTTAGTTCAAAATAATACCAGAATGAACAGGCATCACTAATTGATTACACACTAAGACCTAACTAACGTTGTTGCAAAAAAAAATTTAGACAGAACAATGGCCCTTTGTTTTTGCAACAAAAATGCTGATCTAATAAATATGAAAAGGAATGTCTGGGACTTCCAGAGAAGTCGGGGAAAGAGGAAATCTTTGTGGGAAGAATTGGCTTCCCTGAATAGTTGTGGGAGAATCATGAATATAGATGCTCTGCATACATTCAGAGCACATACCGGAAAGTTATTTATTGAAAATTACACCTTCATCCACAGACTTCGTGTTAGACTTGATTTCATCAGCCGAGACTCCTGAACTCTGCTTCTGTCAATATGAATTATCTTTTAAAACTATTGGGTTTTGCTCACTTAAAACCCTTAAGGAATTCTTATTTTCAAACTATAATAATGGAAAACTGGAAAACTTTATCTCACAAGACCTAAGACTAAGATGTTAATGGATAACTATGAAGAGGAAATGAATACATAAGATGCTTGAAGCTTTTGTATGAGAATGAGGAAAAAATTACTTTTCCACCTAAAATAGCACTTTGCCTATTCTAGAATTTTTGAAGGGCAAATAAGAGAAATGACCTTTTTAATTGGTGACATGACAATGACAACCTCCATTTTCAAACAATGACTACTAGTTTTAATTTTTCAAGCAAAAATGCAGTCAAAAGATGGCAGTCAATGCCGGGGCTTCTCCAAAAATGTAGTAGTCTGCGTTATTCTATATTTCTCATGCCTTATGGTAAATTTTTCATGATCAGCTTTATTATTTGCTGTCTTCAAGTCAATCTTTTCTGGACAGGTCTCTACAGTTTGTTTGGCGAGATTTCAGAACTGGTTTGTCATTGCCTCCTTTCCAGAGCTGAGAGAAAGTGACTGGCTGAAGGTCATCCAGCTGGCTTTGTGCTTAAGAACTAGAATTCATGATCTCCCATTTTTTAGTCTGAGGCCTTAACTACCAGACCAAATTGGCTCTCTAGGATTTATACAGAATACAAATTACATCTGGCTCTTTCCTTTGGGCCAAACGGCAGAGCAAATGTTTGTGAAAGCTCATTTTAGGACTATTCCAGTCAGAGAATATGGAAAATATTGAAGAAGTGGCAAGATTCTGGCTTTCCTATTTCCTGTAGTATTTTTATTTTTTATTACCCTCTAGCCACTTATATCTTTTTTTTTTCATCGTGCTTTCCATTACTCCATCACTTTCCTCTCTTCTCACCCTCCCCCCCCCATTTTCCAAAACTGTCTTTGCCTCCAATGGAAAGATGACAGAAGGGTGCTTTTATTTTCCTCTACAGAACTGATGGGAAATATTTCCGCTAAGTAATTGAATATGGTAATAAAATTTACAACCACTCAGGCACCCGTTTGCACAAATTAGGCCTTATTATCCCAGTGCTAATGAGATTTTCTCCTTCCTTAACATTCTTCGATATGGCGTCATCATAATATTCAGAAATCAAATTATTTCCCCAAAGTCAACTTTACTGCACAAAAATTATGCCCAGGTGACTAAATTATCAGCTAGACTAGAATAGTATTTCACATTCCTGGGCGCAGATGGATGTTTTAGGGACATTCTTCCGAAGGCCTGGCTTCTTTTAGAGGAAAAAGATTTATTAGTACTTTGGAATTTCCAATCTAGCAAGGGCAGGTTAGTGTCTTCTCAGCTTTCCAGCAGGATGGGGGTGGGGCTGTCTTTTGATTTAGATAAGTCTTTGATGCATACATATCATTTGGCTCATGATGTCCAGGGCAGACTGGATGCATATTGTAAACAAAAAAAAAGTCTTTTATATTTTAATTTATTGTTGCTGTTAAACTCTTGGAAAGCTGTATGTAGCAGAAAAACAAATACTGAAATACAATGAAAGCAAATATACGTGTCCCAGGATAATGTTGCAACCAATAAGAAGCTACACCCATCCAGGCACCACATAAATATGACGCATAGAGTAGCTCAAAGTATATATTCCAACAGAGAGAAATTCCCTGAGGATGGGCTCCAGTATGAGTCTGAAAGCTTGAAAGCCAAAACCTCTGGTCCCAATGATTGACCCAGATTGGATCCTGCAACATTATTCTGGGACACATATATTTGCTTTCATTTGTTAAGAGGTGTTCTAGTTCTGAGGCATCCATTTGAATCAAGAATATGTCTTTATCCAGTAACCAGCAGTGTCTTACAAATTTACATAAAATTCTTGATGACAATCAGTCCCTACCATACATTCTCTAAACATTGTGGGAGATATCTGTCTGTCTTGTCTACATTTCTATCTTGCCGCAACCTGGAGACTCTCAGCAACATATTGA